TATATATATATATATATAAATTGCAGGGTAGCTATAGTAGAGCTTGACTCTGACTTGAAGATGTCTAAGGTTAGGGAGTCAACTACCTCCTGTGGTACAGAATTCCAGAGACTGATATGTCTGAGAAGAATGATCCTTTCAGTAAATTTGTATGTGTGACTGAGACAGTGAATTTTTGGGTATGACCTCTTGTTGCCGAGTAGCCTGGAATGAGTTGGTTGTTTGGGATGTCAATTATCCTTTTTGTAATCCATGGTACATCCTGCTAGCTTTTGAGACTTTTCTTCGATGTTGTAATGACTCCCACTTTAAGTCTTAATCATAGCAGTAACGCTGCTGTCGCGTAGATAGTCATTCATGACGTACCAGGCTGCCCTACGCCGGATGGATTCAATGGTGGAGTGCTGCCCTTGTTTGTTGAGGGGTCCCAGACACAGCTAGCGTACTCCGCAATGGGTCTCATCAATGTTTGGTAGCAGTTTTGTTTGAAGCTACGAGAGCAGCTACCTTTTCTCCATTTAATCTCCCATTCAGTGACCAGATCTAGCATAATTTTGCTTTTTGGCATAATTTAGACCAGTTTAACATCTAGCATGTACTGGCATGATTTTTTTCAAATTTAGCGTAATTTAGCATAATTTTGTCCCAAGAAGTAAAATATCTCAAACTGTTCTCACAAAAAAAATTTTTTTTTTAAATTGGTCATAATTGAAACCCAACAAAATTGGACACCAGGTCAATTAAAACTATTTCATCCAAAAATCCTTGATCTTGTCAATATCTGTTATTTAGGCTCACATTGGTCAGACACAGGAAAGCGCATTTCCAAGTATCATAAAATAAAAACTTTCCAGCCAAGTGGCCATAGGTGAAAACTATTTTGGATTGGCGAAAAAAATATCAATTGAACAAAAAAATTTTTAAATACTTGACAAAATACAATGTTTTTTTCATCTGAGCTCCATTTTTCACTAACTCCATGCGATGCTTTGTGTCTTTGTATGAGTAGTCTTGCTACAAATGTCATTGTGTGCCTCGCAAGTTATTTTTTATTTGTAATTGTTAATTTAACGCGGCAGATGCAGGGCAGTGGCCGTATGATCTAGACTAATATGAAGGTACCACTAAATATGAGGGCTGATGCGATGTGTGATAGTTGTTGATAGAGCATATCCTAGTACTGTATAGTTAATAATAATTCAATCAGTGATTTCGTGTTATCGTCAAATACGTAAAATACATTTAAATAACGTGTGAAACAATTTAAGAATGCGTAGGTTGCTTTGTTACACGGTGTACGTATTGTTGTAGAGAGAGTAATCTCGCAAACAAGGGCGATGATCCCGACGAGGGGTCAGATTTTCATGACGAAAGCAATGTGGAATGTGGGCTTGATCTAGCTTAGATTAAAAGGTTCCGAAAGTGGTCTGGGGGGGGGAACCCCCAAAAATTTTAACAATTTAGGGGTTTCAAAGGCTTATTAAATCGATTTTAGAGTCTACTAATATGTAGAAAATACATATAATTTTTCCTCTGCTCCCCCGTAAATATCTGGATCTGCCCCGGCAGGACCCTAGTCAGCCCCTTGGTTCGGACTTCACTGTCGAATATGTTGGACCCCATGTCCTGTCAACAAGTTTTGGCTAATGATTTTTAACAATTTTCGTCAAAATCTGGCTAAAGACACCTTCAATTGGCTAAAAAAAAATTGACTTTAGCCAATTGGCAGAACGAAAAAAATTTTTAGAGTGAGCCCAGTCCAGTGAAGGACCACTAATTCCCTCCAAATTACTCAATCTCTCAAAAAGATCTTTGCCTTTTCTCTGGCCACATTTATGGTGGGCTTATTATGATGTCATTAGTCCTTCCATCACTCAACTATTCCACTGCCTATCTCATCACCATCGCCAACTCTCGAGAATGCAGGAAAGTGCATATCCCGCATAGAACATCTGTCACATCTGATCTGTTGACAATGTAAATAAAATTACAATAGAACCCCTATTATAGGGTGACACACTCATGAACTAGATCAGTAGCGGATTCAAGTGGAGATCTCCGCAACCATTACCCCCCCTCCCCCCATTTTTTAAATATATAAATTGTGGAGAAAAAAAGAAAATCATATTCATAAATTTTCTTACCTCACCCCCAACCATGGTGGGGCTGAGGTGGTATAGACCTTCAGGGGCCCCCCCTTTTGGAAAGTAAAGAAAAAAAAAAGAAAAAGAAAGAAAAAAAAAGTTATAAAAAGTTATCACCCAAAAGGCCTTGGAGGTTATTTTTGGGGTCTAGAACACAGAAATTTTGCAGGGACATGCCCCGGACCGCCTAAGGTATTGTTATCTCGATCTGCCCCCTTCCAGGGGCCCCCACCTTTTCGACATATCTGGATCCGCCCCTGACCTACCATTTGTGTAAATCTCTTCCTGCTTCTCCCCTATTTCAAATTCTATCTGCCACTGCAAATCCCCGGAAATGACTTCTTTCAACTTGGGCCCCCCCCTGAGACCCATCCCAGGTCACAGGGATCTCCCCGGCGGGGTAAAACAGAAACAAAAATTCTTTGGGGAGGAAAAAAAACCACTTTTACAGGGTGCGAGACTCGTTTAATGCCTTTCAAGTCGCTAAATTGTCAGAGTTTCCTGCCCAGGGGAGTTCCCCAGGCCCCATGTGAGTGATCTAATACTCACTAACTCCCAACTTTCTCCCATCGGAAAAATCAAAATACCCCACCCTCCTGACCTCTATGTGTATCAGGAGCCTTGAAATGGGGATGGGGTGGGTGGGGAAATTGGAGGTGAAGGTAAATTGGGGCTTGATGATTAGGTAGGAGCGATAACAGAGGTGGCGCCAATGGGGAGGCCGGGGAGGGCCCCCATCGGAAAGAGGTGTTCCCATCCCGCCTGTCTGGGAGAAAAACCACAATTCATCGGGGAGAAAAATATGTATATTTTCTTACATATGGGTAGACTCTTAGTTGATTAAATAAGCCTTTGAAGCCCCCAAATTGTCATATTTTTACCTGGAACATTTTCGAGGTTTTGAGCAGCCACCATCCCAACCCCGTCGGGCAAATCTTGGTGCCACCCATGTGGCGCCAGCTGGCAAAATAGGGTATTTTGAGGTGCGTTTTAACTAGGCCTATGGGATTCTGATTTTCTTTTAATGTCGGAAGGGGACAGTATTTAAGAGGCCCTATTGAAATTTTTAAAATATAGGCCTAGGCCTAGTATAGACCTAGCATAATTTCCCATCAGTCCTACTAGCACAATTTGATTCGCATCGCTGGTCGCACTGCTCTCACTTTCAACCGAGCATTCGGATGCAATAATCAGTTAGGCGTACAGTACTACCTACAGACAGGTAGCCTACCTCTGGGGTGTTTTTTAGGAATACTGTAGTCTAGGCCTAGAAGTACAATCCGTGAGCCGAGCTTAGGTAGGGTAACCTAAAACACCCTGTTCGGCATCAGGTGGTCCTTGGATCCCACTTGACCCAGGCCTAGGCTATACTGTCTCGAATTAAATGTCAATATTTTCTTACCTTTATAGTTAACACGTTTTTATTTGCTTATACAGTAATGGGAAACTGTTGCCTAATTATTTACGTGTAGCCTGGGAATTGTGTAGCTTGCCAACAAAATAACGACTACAACCCTGTATTTAACCTAGCCTAGCTGCTGCCTCGGTCTTCGACTCGGGTGGCGCACTAGCGTGACGTTTTTGTTTGAGTGATCGCACGCGTAGGCCTACTACTGTATGAAACCATAGAAATACTCCTTTTACGCTGCGCAATAAACCACCGCAACCAGCCTCCCAATGAATACGTAGGAGTTTTTAAAAACCAATGATACTTACCAAACTAGTTAGGCTATATGGTGGTAACAAACAATTTACAACAGCAACCATGACAACATGAAAAAACATTACAATTTCACGTAAATTAGATTTTTTTTATGGGATGCCTATAATATATGCCTTTTAATTTATTAGCGTCGTAAATTTTCGGTTTGATTATGCAAATGATTAATTAGCATAGCCTATTCCCACACGTACATTAAATAGCTAAAGTCGTCTTCCTATTACTAATTACCATCTTATTATTCTGAGGCCTAGGCTTATGCCAAGTTTGACCGACTTACCAAACTTTAGTTTCGTGGTAGGCCAGCCTCTTTACTAAGAACATTTTTTAACATTTATCCGGCATTTATCACACGCAAGTCGATATTTGTGAACGATTCTATGTTATGTAGGCCTAGGCCTACAACAATATCTCGGAAGTGACTGTAGACCCTATCTTAAATTACCTGCTTAAGTATTGAAAATTATGCAAATGAATGATTATATGTCTATATAGATGTGAATAAGAGACAGTTGT